TCTCAATTTAATTTTGAAGCCTATTTCTGGTGACCTGTGCCAGCATTACTAAAGGAAAATAACAAGTTTTAAATATGAAAATAGCTGAACCATATGTTGAATACTTTTTCTGTCAGTTGCAAGACTGACCGAGCTTCTGACTAACCAAAGAACAGTGGTGTTTACCCTGTCTTTAGTTGCAAAGCAAGAAACTGAGTGGTTTGTAGGAATTTATGGATTTTAAGTAAGGAAATATCTATGATTTAATAATACCTATTAAAATATAGAAAACTAGAGAACACTAGACAACAAAAATAAATATCCCCAAAGAAATTCCAGAAATACCAGTCTGTTGGGTTCATACCAGTGCTCAACATGCCCTCCAGCATCCCAGAGAGAAGGACATAAAAGAGGGGCAGTTTCCAGTTCCTTCACTCTAGTTCTTTTGCTAAGACAGAATGTCTATTGCTAAGGACTTGGCAGTCGTAGGGAAGGAGGGCAGGTTGTGGAATACATGTTCACGCACATCTGAAAGAACCACAGTTACTGTAGGAAAACTGCTGTTCTTTGAGTGATTGTCCACATGTATTCCGCTTCTGGTGACTCACTCACAAGCAGATTTGTATTCTGGAGGTGGTGCTCAGAGTCTATTGGGATTATGACTGCAGGACAGCTCTGCCAAACTGGTTTTTGGATCTGGAGACCTCCAGCAAGGAGGTAGATGCTCAGTCTACTGCAATGATGCGGGACAGATCTGCCAAAGTGGGCATGGGATTTAGAGCCCTCAAGCAAGCAGTAGTGCTGGGAGAAGCTGTCAACTGAACTTCAGGTAGTTGCTCAACAAATCAATGAGATTGGGACACCCCACAGGGAATCAGCAGAGACTGCCTGAGCTCTGGTGGAATGGGTCTTAATCTGTCCATGTGTGCCTGTTTAAGTGGCCCATCATGAAGCATATTTTAACACAGTTTGAGATCCATTTTGACATCCTTTGGGTGAACATAGATTGATCTTTCTTTATGTCAGCAAATGTAAGGAACAATCTAGGAGAGTTCTTAAATGGCTTTGTTCTGTGTATATAGTAAGAAACAGACCTGACAACATCCAACGGGTAGAGTTTAGCCTCTCTCCATTTGGCATGAAACTTGGGGAAGAAGACAGGTATGTGGATCATCTAGTTAAGATGAAAGTCAGACACCATTTTAGGTAAAAACCTTGAGTAAGGTCTTAGTCACTGTGCCATTTTGGAATACTGTAGAAGATGGTCCTGCCATGAAGGCCTCAATTTCTCCCATACTACTGGCTGAGGTTTTGTTCTCAGATTCATGAGGTCAGTGTAGCAAACATGTCAGGGCCATGCTGGGCTATCATTTTCATTAGAGCTGTATCTGGCTTACCCTTCAGGGGAATTTGGAGGGTGGGCATACATGAGCCCTATTGAGCCTGGGATCAGAAAGGCATCTGATAGGGAAGTGAAGGATGTTCTGGATGACTCTGTGGCAGAGGAATGGTATTTCCTTAATGCTGAATGGGCTCTGGAGCCTGGAGAGGACTGGCATGTTACTGGGGTACTGTGGGAGGTGGTCTGGTCTGATGAACAGTCTTCTCACTTTCCAGTGCCAACAAATCACATTCAGAGCTCTCCAAAAGGAAGAACTTAAGTTGCAACTCCCTAGATTTTTGGCTTCTTTATGAAAAGGAACAGCATATAAAGTATTTTCATGGTGTATGTGTTTTTTCCAGACACAAGACAAGTATTTTAGAATTCAGGTATTCCATTAATAGTTGATATACTTGAATATTGACTTTAGAATATAAGATGGGACTTGAACTCATGTCATTTGAAAAGACGGCAGTGTGAATGGTAAATAGTTTGAGAACCACTAACCTAATTAATACATCATGATTGATACTCACACATAAATTACATTTTAGGCCTGGTGACTTACAGATATAAATATTAAAGGTCTTTAGATTAACTCCTGCTTTCTGAATTTAGGTGAATCGGGTGCACAAGAATGTCAGGAAGGAGGGATTTAAGCAAAAATGAATATTGTACCCAAAAGAAGAATATAACTATTGTCTGTCAAAAACAAATTCATGTTTATGTAGCACACTAATAAAACAGATGACATTCAGAAATAAGTATGCAATATTAGTGTAGCATCAGTTTTGTGACTACTCAATAATAGCTAATAAAAGCTAACTAGTAACCAGCATTCCTAGAGACCACATTATGTAATCTCCCTTCATTAAATATTTCCAGAAATTAAGTGCTGAAAGTATTTGTAATATTCCCAAAATGTCCCCAGAATGAGAGTCTCTATGCAAAACCATATATCAATCATTCATAAAAGTGATAATGTCTTAGTAATAACAGTACAGAATTGGTTTAGACTTTTGCAAAAGAAGTGTGATCCACATTTTGTCAGATTTAATAATGTAGTAAACAAGATTCTTTATCTTAACACTTTCATGTTTTAATTTAGTACCCAATACTGATAAATAATTTAAAGTAACAATTTGCTTTGCACTAATCCCTGGGTATGAGTTTACAGTAAAAGTGATGTCTGTTTAAAAATAACCAATAATCATAGAAAATATAAACAGCAATTCTAGAGTGATACAAAGTAGCAATATTTACATTGTTCTCTTTTTATTATTCATACTTCAAACAGGAAATTCTACAGCTCAACAGATGCTTGCAGTTTGTTCAGTTGCCAATGAAGGTCTCATGTACTACATCTTTTGGGGGGCCAGATCCCATTACCTAGAAGTCAATTTGGATTCACCATTGACTAATATGCAAGCAAGACTGGACACTTGACTATCAATACTTTGTATTAGAATAGAAAAAGAATATTTCAGTGTTTTCATGTGATTTTTTTTTAAATTGACATTGCTACTACAAGTCCCTGCATGATAGGATCATGTACAGGTATATTAGCAGCTATGATTTACTACTGCAGTAAAGACAAGTTTCAGAGTAACAGCCGTGTTAGTCTGTATCCGCAAAAAGAAGAACAGGAGTACTTGTGGCACCTTAGAGACTAACTAATAAATTTGTTAGTCTCTAAGGTGCCACAAGTACTCCTTCTTTTTACTGCAGTAAAGATGTTGTCCAATGAAAAATGACTTGCCCATAGATAGATGTCCTCTGGAGGTATTAATTTAGCATGTTATAATGAAGAGCTTGCTGATGATGATGCACAGTAGTTTAAATAATAAAAATAGCATTTTTTAAAAAAGAAAATGTTGTATTACTTTAATTTGGGGGGAACACTTTCCAGTATTTGATTTACTTGACACACACACAAACCCTTTTCATGATTTAGAATTAAACCTGCATGTTGTCCTTGAAACAATACAAATGAGAGTACTGTATTGGTCCTCAGATCTATGTCTACCATCCTGATTGAAGAAAAAAAGTGCACTGTTGCTACCTTAGTGATTCTCAACTATTTCCATAATATGACACCATGTTCCCACAGAAGAAAAATAGTTTCGGACCTTCTTATCTAGCAAAAAATAAAGGTGGTGTGGGGGAGATGATTACAACTTTCCTACAAGTCCTGACCCTCAGGTTGAGAATCCATGGACTACATGATATCCATGTATTAGCATAGAGGAATGGTCTGTTGTGTTACCATAGTTGCATGTATAAACCAAACAACGACTGGCCTGTCACAATGTAGATATGCCCTAAGTCAGAGGTTCTCAACTTTTTTCTCTTGGAGGGTTCCCACCCCCCACATACTATAAAAACTCCACAGCTCACTTCTGCCACAACAACTGTTTTTCTGCATTGTTAGGGGGTAGCAAGCAGGGCAACGGCCCGGGCCCCCTGCCACATGGGGCCCCGCAGAGCTAAGTTGCTCAGGCTTCACTTTCAGCCCTGAGTGGCGGGGCTCAGGGTGCTGGGCTTCAGTCCCTTGCCGTGGGGCTTCAGCTTTCTGCCCTGGGCCCCAGCAAATCTAATGCTGGCCCTCAGGCCCAGGGCAGAAACCTTGGCAGGCCCCCTGAAACCTGCTCGTGGTCCCCCAGGGGACCCCGGTTGAGAACCACTGCCATAAGTTACCATATGTCAGTGCTAGACTGAAGATCTCACTGTGGGTGCCTGAGCCCCATGTAGCTCTGTAATGAATGTATATGATTAGTATAGCCTCTCACAGGGAAAGTTTTAATGTCTGACGTTTCAAATGCAGAATGTGACTGTTTCTGTGACTTAGACGAGATTTTTTTTTTAATTTAAATACCTTATGGAAAAATTTGATAGTCACATTGAGTTTAGTCTTGTAACTCTCATACACTTAGAGAAGTCAAATACATAGTGTACCGATATACAGCAATGTTTAATTGCCTCTCACTCGCACAGTGTGCAATAATTCTTATCTGTTGTACACCAGGAGGAATCCAGAAGCACAATATAACTGCAGTGCACAATAAATGTCAGTGCTGTTTCTTTCTTTAGGCCACTAAAAGTTACTACTCTGCAACTTGTGTTTTCATCTTCAGTGGAGAGCTGCAATATAGCAGCATCAGTGTCTACTAGCAAGGGCGCTGGGCATTCATAAATCAGTGCAGCTCTGACTGCTAGAGAAGCAAAACGGGAGACCGACCCCATTGCCAATTTTCCTGGTCTAAGGGTGAGCACTTCAACCTGTCAAGTCAGCCTCTTTCACTGTTTGGAAGATACAAAGCAGCTTGACTGTCCCCTGAAGGAATCAAGATAGTTTCTCTCCTTTTTGGATGAGTGTCTGTCTCTCTATATATACACAGGCACTCAGACATTGGTTCTGTGTGTTTGTGGATGTTTTTTTGTTATACATGGGCTAAGACTCTCTGTGCTATTTGCTATTTACATAACTCGGTAAATAGTAACAGGTCCGACGTTTCTAGGAATGTCCCTGTAGAAGATGGAAGAAGAGGGATGGTCGTTAGCATATCCCTGCTTCCCACCCCCACCCCTCTTTTGTCTCCCTCTGCCGTGTTTGCAGAGCAGAGCTGAACCCCAGACTCACCTGTCGTCGTTCTGCCATCCTTGGTCTCCTAGCAGCAAATCCCGAAACCTGTACCTGGGAGGAAGAGGAGGCACCTCACTCTCCAGATCCACCATCCTACCCTGGCAGCCAAAGCCTCTCCCCCGCGGCTCAGATAGCAACAATCCGACGAGGAAGCAGGAAACCGAACGGGTTGCCCCAAGCCAGTGCCGGCGTTCAACACACAAAGGCAGAGAGCAGCCTCGAGTCCTGTGCTGGGAAGGGGACGCTCCACAGCATCTGAACCAGTCCCAGCCTCTCTTGCAGAACGGAGAACGAGGAGAACCGGGGTCGAAAGTTATTTTCTTGCAGCCGCCGCTGTTCGCAGCCTTTCTCTAGGAAGCAGGTGCGGCGGACAGGCAGGGACCAGGGCTGCATTAGATGCACACACAGCTCGCAGGCTCTGGGCTGACAACAAAGAGATGCCTGCCATACGCAGCCATGCAAATGATATTTGGAGCTGCCGCTGGCGGGCCAACCAATGCGATTAACTCTCATTAGCATAGCCCAGAGAAGGTGAGGGGAATCTATCATCGCCAACCAATGGGATTAAATATATTAGCATAATGTGGCTGTGGGATTTTCTCAATCCCAGACACAGGGCTGGAGCAGCAGCAGAGCCCTGTGGATGCAGGTATAGTCTCAGGGATGCCCAAAAGTCTCCTTCAAAGAGAGGCATTGCACCAGATATGGATATACAGGACTCGTGTAACCATGCCCATCCCTACCCCAGGCATACCCTAGGATACCAGGGGACCTCTACACCCAAGCTGGCACAGGGGAGGGGCAGAAGCTGGGTGTGGCCAGGCTGGAAGATAGAGAGGAAGCACCTGGATGGACCTGTGTCCTGCAATACAAACTCCCTTAAGGGACTAGTTAAATTGAACCGTGGGGTTTCCTAAATGTCCACCCACAATTCCCAGAAGGGACAGACATTTTCTTCCACAATACCAGCAAAAGCCTTATGACAGCAGCACAGTTCCTGGGGGATCTAGGAACCATGGGGTGCACTTCAAAATCTTTCTCTCCCACTAATAACTCTAATGTCAGTGTGGATGCAGGGTGCTTAGATACTGCATGGGACTGAATTGTTCCTTTGCAATGTGTTTGCACGCTCCCAAGTCAAACGAGTGACTCAATCCTGGTAAATCTGTAGTGAAGACATACTCATAGGGGTCACTGCACAGGTTAGTCCCTGAAGGGAGGAGGCACAAACTGCCTCCCCTTGATTCTGCATGCCTTACTCTGTCCCACAGTGTTCTTGTGGCACTGAGCACTAGGAGAGGCAGGATATCCAAGGGAAGTGTACATTGTCTATTTTAACAGAACCAGTTTGGCTTTTGTGTCTTTAAAGGGGCACCACCAACTTGAACATCACATTTCCAGCTGACAGTGCTTAACTAGTTGTTTTTAAAAACTACATCTAAGATCACTGTAACAGCATATGAGCAAAGAAAACAATTCTCTATTTTGTCATTGTGTTTACTTTGCATCTTGTATTTCCAGTATGTGTGTAGTCATTTCTTAGATTTTGCTGGTGGTGTATGCCTCTCCCCCAAACTCTGCAACAGGGTGTTTAATACTAACAGTAGCAGCAGCAAAGAGAGAGGGAAGAGCGGGGAGAAGCCATAGGAAAGATAGCTGAACATCTGATGCCATATGTAATATTAGTCCCCCACATTTAATTCCCTTCAGAATCTACTTTGTTCTACTAAATGCAGCCCTTTTTGTCACTTCAGCAGCAAAAAATGAAGCATTAAGATAATTGTCTCATTTTCCTTTCTTTCTTGCAGCATTCAAGATCTTTATTTATCATTACATTTTAATAGTTTTTAAATAATGGGTCTTATTCATTCCAGTTTTACACTTGTGTAACTCCACTGAAATATTGCCACTACAAGTGGTATAAAATCATGAGATGAAAATAAATAATAATTTGTAGGAACTTATTTGGCATCTGAATATTAGTATTTAGAGTTAATTCAAATTCACATGTTTCCAGGTTTGTCTCTATAACCATCAGGATTAGAAACATGTCCCCCCCCCCCCCATGAAAGCTGACATTCTCACCTAATCATATGCCTTTAGGAGCTGGGGCTTTAAGAAAAAAAACAACAAATATTGTAAGATTTATGATGAAATCATGAGAGTTAGCAACACTGCTTTAAAGTGAAATAACTCAGGTGAATCAGGCTCAGTGGGCCTTGCTTTGTCACTTTTCCTCCTTTTTCAAACTGATGAACTCTGTCAGCCCTTTCTGTATTATATGAGGAGCTGAAGCCCCAATGTGTGTGTGTCAGGGAGCAACTTCTAAAGAAAACAATAGACGGTACAAAGCTGGAAGGGGTTGCAAGTGCTTTGGAGGATAGGATTAAAATTCAAAATGATCTGGACAAACTGGAGAAATGGTCTGAAATAAATAAGAAGAAATTCAATAAGGACAAAAGCAAAGTACTCCACTTAGGAAGGAACAATCAGTTGCACACATACAAAATGGGAAATGACTGCCTGGAAAGGAGTACTGCTAAAGGGATCTGGGGGTCATAGTGGATCACAAGCTAAATATGAGTCAACAGTGTAATGCTGTTGCAAAAAAAGCAAATATCATTCTGGGATGTATTAGCAGGAGTATTGTAAGCAAAACACGAGAAATAATTCTTCCACTCTACTCCGCACTGATTAGGCCTCAACTGGATTATTGTGTCCAGTTCTGGGTGGCACATAACAGGAAAGATGTGGACAAATTGGGGAAAGTCCAGAGAAAAGCAAAAAATATGATTAGAAAACATGACCTCTGAGGGAAAATTGAAAAAAATGGGTTTGTTTAGTCTGGAGAAGAGAAAACTGAGAGGGGACATAACAGTTTTCAAGTACATAAAAGGTTGTTATAAGGAGGATGGAGAAAAAATGTTCTCCTTAACCTCTGAGGATAAGACAAGACACAATCTGCTTAAATTGCAGCAAGGGCAGTTTAGGCTGGACGTTAGGAAAAGCTTCCTAACTGTCAGAGTGGTTAAGCACTGGAATAAATTGCCTAGGGAGGTTTTGCAATCTCTGTCATTGGAGATTTTTAAGAGCAGGTTAGACAAACACTTGTCAGGAATGGTCTAGATAATACTTAGTCCTGCCATGAGTGCAGGGGACTGGACTAGATGACCTCTTAAGGTGCCTTCCAGTCCTATGATTCTATGAAAACCAATTGCATTTCTCCCTTTGAGAATTTTATGGAGTTCTCTTTCCAGGCACTCCTGCTTCTCTTCATATATGTCCACTCTGCTTTTTCAGTCTTGCACTGTCATGCCTAACCTCACTAGTTTCCAACAGCAGTTTTTGTTAATTCATTATATAGCAGATGAGAGTTAATACTGGTGACATTTTTCGAAAGCCCAGAAATTGTATACAGTCTCCGTATCAAATATAGTTACTGTGCTGCTGTTTTTTTACTAATATCTGCACAGGTACCGTTGTTTTGTTGTTCAGTGATGTTAAAGTGAGTCATTTGACCACACTTGGGCCTCTTGTTATCTTTTCCCCTCACTGGGCTCAATTTTTAATTGCTCACTTGTTGTCCTGGTAGTTAATTTGAGCATTTGTGACTGATATATTTGTGCCTCATCCTGCAAATATTTAGGCACATGTCCTGTTATATCAACACAGCTACTTGTGCTTAAAATTAACCATGTACCTAGTATATGCCCAAGAAATGATAATTTCTGATGAATAGGAGTGCAACAGGCAGAAATAAGGCAATCATCTTAAAAGGTACAGTGTAAACCTCAAACCTTTTAGAATTCTTTTGAAGGGAGGGATTTTTAACATAAATTATCATAGAATCATAGAACTGGAAGGGACCTCGAGAGGTCATCTAGTCCAGTCCCCTGCACCCAAGCCAGGACTAAGTATTATCTAGACCATCCCTAACAGGTGTTTGTCCAACCTGCTCTTAAAAATCTCCGATGATGGAGATTCCACAACCTCCCTAGGTAACTCATTCCAGTGCTTCACAACCTTCCTAGTGAAAAAGTTGTTCCAAATATCCAACCTAACCCCCTCCTGCCTCCCCCCCCCCCACTGCAACTTGAGACCATTACTCCTTGTTCTGTCATCTGCTACCACTGAGAACAGTCTAGATCCATCTTCTTTGGAACCCCCTTTCAGGTAGTTGAAAGCAGCTATCAAATCCCCCCTCATTCTTCTCTTCTGCAGACTAAATAATCCCAGTTACCTCAGCCTCTCCTCGTAAATCATGTGCTCCAGCACCCTAATCATTTTTTGTTGCCCTCTGCTGGACTCTTTGCAATTTTTCCACATCCTTCTTGTGGGACCCAAAATTGGACACAGTACTCCAGATGAAACCTTACCAATGCCGAATAGAGGGGAATGATCACATCCCTTGATCTGCTGGTAATGCTCCTACTTATACAGCCCAAAATGCTGTTAGCCCTCTTGGCAACAAGGGCATACTGTTGACTCATATCCAGCTTTTCATCCACTGTAACCCCTAGGTCCTTTTCTGCAGAACTGCTGCCTAGCCACTCGGTCCCTAGTCTGTAGCAGTGCATGGGATTCTTCCGCCTAAGTGCAGGACTCTTGTTCTTGTTGAACCTCATCAGAGTGCATCTGACCCCATGGACTTGTGCTCGTCCAGCTTTTCTAAATAGTCCTGAACCACTTCTTTCTCCACAGAGGGCTGGTCACCTCCTCCCCATACTGTGCTGCTCAGTGCAGTAGTCTGGGAGCTGACCTTGTTTGTGAAGACAGAGGCAAAAAAAGCATTGAGTACATTAGCTTTTTCCACATCCTCCATCACTAGGTTGCCTTACCCATTCAGTCAGGAGCCCAAACTTTCCCTGACCACCTTCTTGTTGCTAACATACCTGTAAAAACCCTTCTTGTTATTCTTAACATCCCTTGCTAGTTGCAACTCCAGTTGTGATTTGGCCTTCCTGATTTCACTCCTGCATGCCTGAGCAATATTTTTATACTCCTCCCTGGTCATTTGTCCAAGCTTCCACTTCTTGTAAGCTTTTCACTGTTAAGCCAAGCTGGTCGCCTGCCATATTTACTATTCTTTCTACACATAGGGATGGTTTGTTCCTGCAACCTCAATAAGGATTCTTTAAAATACAGCCTGGACTCCTTTTCCCCTCATGTTATTCTCCCAGTGGATCCTGCCCATCAGTTCCCTGAGGAAGTCAAAGTCTGCTTTTCTGAAGTCCAGGGTCCATATTCTGCTGCTCTCCTTTCTTCCTTTTGTCAGGATCCGGAACTCAACCATCTCATGGTCACTGCCTCCAGGTTCCCATCCACTTTTGCTTCTTTTCCCCCAGTTGGTTCCTCCAGCACTTGCACCAGGAAATTGTCCCCTACACTTTCCAAAAACTTTCTGGATTGTCTGTGTACTGCTGTATTGCTCTCCCAGCAG